AGGTCCCTTCCAACCCTAAATCTATGAAACTATGAAACTTCCTTGTTCATTTAGTGGGGTTTCTTATTAGTTACTTGCTTCCTGTTCTGAATACTGCTACTCCAAAAGTAGACTTTTTTGGCCAGGACATAAAAAAAAAATCCAAACACAGACACATGTGCAACAGAACAAAAAGCCCTATACTTTCTTTTTATAAACCTCTTGCCATTTCACAAGAACATGGGATTTTTATTCCTACTGATTCATAAACTGATACTGTTTATCCAAATATGTGATACCATCTATCACTTCCCATCTTTATTGCCTTTTCAACTCTCATTTTAATAAAGAAATTGGGCTGCCCAGCAGTTCAAATGATATTATTAAAAATAAATAAATAAATGTTTTTGTGCAGAATAAGTGTGCCTTGGGATGAATTCTTCAGAGAAAGAAAAAAAAGAAGCTCTGGCCATATTGAAATATACATTTTAACACTGACATCAATAGGACCAGGATTTCACCCAGAATTTGAACCAGAGTCAGATGTGGTATGCTAGTTCTTCTTTTCTACTTTGACCTTTCTCCACTTATTCATAGCTACAACTAATATGATGAACAAACCCAGCAGCACATCTTAAAATAAAGACAATACCACAATTCCTAAAATCAAAGACTTTCTTTCAGAAGTTTTATTTGAATCAAGAAAAAAAAAATTGTTCAAACTCATTTTTAATGTATCCCAAAATATTTTGTCAGTTATACTCCGTGTATCCTTTCTGCAAACATAGACACACTAACCACAAGACAGGAGGACATTTTAATGAAGACATATGAGAAATGGTAATAAACTAAGTAGAAATCTGTTTGTTGGAGGAATGTTATATCTAAAATGCTAAATGCAACCTTACCCATCTTTCCAGCAACTCCAAAGGTTTGTATTTGCAGTGCAGCAAGGGTTTCATAGTTTCATAGCAGCTAGGGTGAGGAGGGAACTGAACAGATCATCTAGCCTGACCCCTGCCACAGGCAGGAATGAATGCTGCGTTCGCAAGACCCCAGACTGGTGATCATTCAACCTCCTCTTGAATTTGCCCAAGGTAGGGGCAAGGACCACTTCCCTGGGAAGTTGGTTCCAGATTTTGGCCACCCTAACTGTAAAATATTGCCTTCTGATCTCTAACCTAAACCTATTCTCCATCAGCTTATTACCATTGTTCCTTGTCACCCCAGGTGGTGCTGGGGAGAAAAGGGCTCTACCTATTTGCTGTTGATCTCCCCTGATGAGTTTGTAGGCAGCCACCAGGTCCCTCCTCAGCCTCCTCTTGCTGAGGCTGAACAGGTTCAGGTCCCTCAGTCTTTCCTCATAGGGCCTGTCCTGCCCAAGTGGGTGGCCCTCCTCTGAACCCTCTCCAGGCTGGCCACATCCCTCTTGAAGTGTGACACCCAGTACTGGATGCAGTACTCCAACTGTGGTTCTGGCAGTTTGTTAAACATGAGTGTCAAACCCATCTGTTGCAGAGCGTGCCCTGTGCCTGAGAGCAGAAAACAGCTCGGGAGATACCTCTAGTGGCAAGAAAGGGGAGACTCAGCTGCCAGTCACCAGGGCAGCCAGAGTCACAGGTGCTGGTTGCTAGGGCAACTGGTGGAGCCAGCTGACAGGAAGGGGCAGGGTTTGGCCCTTCTTAAGCCCCAAGTGTGAGGCCAGGAGGGCAGTTCCCCTCTGGTGGCCAAGGGAGGGGGAGCTCGGCCACTCCAGACAGAGGGAGAAGCCTGACTGCATGAGCATCCCCTGATCACTGCTATGGGTTGGAGTATTTCTCAGTAGGGATTCAATGTTGTTTGGCTGGACAGTTTAGGTTTTTATGTTATAGCCTGGGGGCTTTGTGTTTTTGTGTTTGCTGTTTTTGACCAGAGGACCGGGTGAGGCTATTAGGGGTTGGAGGAGGCCTCGTAGGGACTCCACGGTAATGTGGGGATCCTCGCGCCAGAGAGGGTGCAGCATTTGGGGTGCATTGACCCCAGCCCCAGAGCAAGGGGGCAGTGAGGAGCCCAGATAGAGGGCCACGAGAAGTGAGAAGCCCCAGAGCAAGGGGGGCAGTGAGAAGCCCGGAGAGAGGCCGCAAGGAGCGAGAAGCCCCAGAGCAAGGGGGGGGGGGCAGCGGGAAGCCCCAAGGAGATAAAGGAGAGGACCAAGTCACAACAGGGCCCAGGTCAAAAACTACGTCAGTATCATCTGCGAGGCTTGGGCTGCGGTGTAGGGGTGGAAAAGGAGCCGCAGATAGCGCCCCTGGCACCGGGGCGCACAAAGTGGGCAGCCTCCGCTAATTAATCAATGATCAGTCAATTAATCAATTAAGATCAAGGCATGGCAGGTGAATAAGCAGGAGGTTGGCCCATAACAGGAGGGCGGAGTCACCAATAGAAAGGCTCCAGTAGAGATACTCCTGTCACACCATCCTAATGTGATGTCCCTATAAGAGACTTCCTGAAGGTCTTTGCTTTGCAAACAGACAGGATAATAAAAATATCAGTGTATGTGAGCCACTGGACCCATTTCTGCTTATACGTATAGAACTGATAGTTGGATACCATTTTAACCAGGCTTTTCACCAATATGGTTATTAACAGGATACTCTGACTTGGTTTAAGATAAAATGGATTCCTTGGTTTAAGATGAAATGTGTTCAAGTGATATTGTAGCCATCATAGTCCTGAAGTTATGCAAAAGGCAAGGATTTTTTAGGATCATATTTTTATTCGACCAACTGCATAGTTGGGATAGAGATAGATGAGTTAGACTCCAACCTGATGAAGAGCATCTTGTGTTTGTAGGCTTGTCCAACTCTATCCCAACTGTGTAGTTGGTCCAATAAAATATGTTACCCTAATATATTTGACTCTTAGATTATGAAGAAATCCTTTCCTCTTAGATTACAAGGAAATTTATGTAATGTTTTTGAATGTTATACCCTTTTTTGAAATTTCTTTTTAATAAATATTCCTTACATTTATGGCATATTTACATATAACAAATTGTTACGTGCCTTATCACACTAAGAACGAATGTAAGTGTTGCAGAAGTGACATATGACATCCAAAATGTAATGCTACAGATAAGATTACAGATGTGATACCTAAGTATTGGAATGAATTGGGAACACAGTATCCTTGATATATGAATTCTGGCATTTGGCATTAAATAATACATATCAATGGATAATGTTAACAATGCAGGAAAGTTTTACAGGTAAGTAATAAAATGTCATACACCTTTCCAGTGACAAGTGACAGATCAATCTTTTACAACCTGTAAAAGGAGATAAATTCACGATACCTTAAAGCTGTTCTCTCCATATCTAAAACAGATGAATACCAAATATGTTTCTGCCACCCCTAAACTGTTTACTTAAACATTTTCTCCCCTAATACATCCTTTTCTTTTTCTCTAAACTGAATTATCATTCTGATGTCTCACGTGAATGGCCAAAAGTCTCTCAAGTTTTTCAATTTCAAAGTACATCTATGGAGATTCAAATGTAGACAGGATTATTTTTGTTTTCTCCAAAACTGACATAGTTCAAATGGTTTATCAATGATGACTTATGGCAGTTGAAGATCAGGCCTTATGTTTTTTTTCCCCATAAAGATACAAATCACTGAAAAAAAATCCAAAGTTATATGCGTAAACCTACCATTTTCTTCCAGGTAGGTCAGAAGTATGCAGCTGGATTCTGTCCCTTCCATGGCATAATCAAGTGCAATGTTTCCATTGACATCCTGTAGCAGTACATTTGCCCCAGCCTAAATGAAAAACAAGAAAGATGAACAATTTATGTTTCTGTAATAATATCTCAAGAACTGTGACTGAAAGGTTGAGACCAATTTATTACTCCCACAGGGCAGTTTCAAGACAGATTTAAGTAAAGCTTATTGATCCGGATTCCGTTTCATTTCAAATTTGGAGTTCATATGAACTAATACTCAAGAGGACAACTAAAAGACAAGCATAAAAGACCTCCTCCCATGTGAAATAAAATGGCCATTTGTCACAAACGCTTTCACTGTCTGCAGAAGTCAAATTCCAGGTCTGTAATTCCAAAGGTCAGGATCTGAGTTCTCAAAATTAACCTAAACTTATTTGTTGGCCCATCTACCTTCTAAATATTTGCCACAGAAAGGAGATATTTAAATAATCTAGTTAGGCATCTCTGCAGAGCCAGCAGAGTTTAAAGAATTTAGAGACATATTTGGGCGCATCCAGATGAGCATGCACATGCCTCTTGCCCTGCCTCAAACCCCTCTGAGGCAAGGCAAGAGGCACGTGCAGGAACAAAAACTGTTCCCCGCACTAAAAAAAAATGAAACAAAAAAAAGCGGCAGGCAATCGGCGGTTGAGTCCTCCAGGGAGATGCTCTGGCTGCCAGACCATCTCTATGGTTGGCCCCTTGCCCTGGTGCTGAAACATGCAACCAACAAGGCTGCATGTTTCAGCTCCAGGGCTCCAGTGCTGGTAAGTAAGGGGGAGGGGGGCG